GGTGGGAGAGGGAGAACGGCAAGCTCTCATCTAATGGGTAGAATGTCAGCGTACTGGCACACCTCCTGGGTGACGGGCCCAACTACAACAGACACAAACAACGTAACCCAGGGGCCCTCAAACTTTTTAAACAGGGGGCCAGTTCACTGTCCCTCACACTGTTGGAGGGCTGGACTGCGGGCCTGGGTGGGATGAGTCGGATGCTAAGCAGGACAGGCCACAGCGGCAAAAACACCCGGTGGGCTGGATAAATGTCCTAGGCGGGTCGCATGTGTCACACGGACCCTCATTTGAGGAAGCCTGATGTAGCCTAATGGTTTGAACCCTACCCTCATATTAATATGAAATTAGAATAAGAAAGATAGAGAACAAAAACAAACTTTAGAAAGTCTAGTTTAAGAGAATGAATTCATAAAATGCTGATATTAAGAAAAAGAATGTTTATAACACAATGAAGGAAACTTTTCATAGGTTGATAGAACCATAAGTTGCTAATTAATTTGAAAAATCTTTATAATTATAATCCAGGAAAATATCTTATCATTAAATTGACTCAAGAGATACAGGAAAAAAATTAAATGTATTTCAAATATGGAAAAATACATATTGTTTACAAGCAAATTAATAATATTATACCCCTTTTCTTCATTTCCTTCAGGAAACAAGAGGCCAAATGATTAAGGCATTTTACAAAAGTTATTTCATTATGAATGAAATAAAGAAGTAAAAAAAAAATAGAGTGAAAGGATTAAAATGGGAGATAGGCAAAAAATTCAAAGTCATGGAGAAGAATAGCAACATAGGGCAGCACCTGTGGCTCAAAGGAGTAAGGCGCGGGCCCCATATGCTGGAAGTGGCAGGTTCAAACCCAGCCCCAGCCAAAAAAAAAAAAAAACTGCAAAAAAGAAAAATAATAGCAACACAATGTAACATTTACTTTATAAAGCTACAGTCTTAAGATATTTGCTGAAAATAAAAGGGAAATTAAATATGTTTAGTGAATGAGCCTCCTGCTTTCCTCCAAAAACTGATCCAGGACAATAAACTGTGAGATATATCTCAGAGAAACTATAAACTTAAAAAACAAACAAACAAAAAATCCAAAGCAAAAAGATGAAATTACTTTTAATGATAAGAAAATTAAAGCATTACAGAACTTCTCAAGAGCACTTCACAAAGCAAGGCAGAGTAAAGAAGCACTTTAGAGAAAGTTCAACAAAAAAAGTGTAAGTGAAATATTTTATATCCAGCCAAGCATTATGGCTAAGAACAAAACAGTTTAAAACTTCTAAGTGCTTTTGTATCGAGCAACATAAGAAAAACATGACAGTTGAGCTCCTCCCAGTGAAATGCTACAGAATGAGCTTCAGCAAAAAGATAATGGGAGAAGCTTTGGCAAAATAACTAATGGGTTAAATAACAATTTGAAATCATCCTACATTCTAACAAGTAAAGAAAGGAAGTATTATTAAGCAATGGGAGGAAAACAGAAAAAGGGAACCATGATATTGCTACGTAGGTTAGAGAATACATGGAAGTCATAGATTTCATTTAAAACTGAACAAAAACGTTAAGTGGGAAAAAAGAGGGAGTGGTGTACAAAAGTTGTACACATAACAGTAACCACTATAATAAAAGTTCGAACCTTTCTAAATAACAAAAGGGAAAAACGCACACACCACGAGAACAACAGTAAATATAACAAAATTCACACAAAAATACATAATATAAACAATAAGTTAAATAAGATACACCTCTTGAATACATACCCTGATAATGCACCATCTTTGAAGCAAACATGAAATGTTGACAAAAGTCAATCATATGTGAGGTCGCAAATTCTCTAAGCTACAATTTATTAGTCATGCCCCATTGTGTTACTCACCCTTCTTTTCATGAATTAAGAAGATACAAATCTTATATTTTCCTCCAAGGAAAACGTTATGACTATATAATTAGAATGGTTTTGAAACAATAATTATTTATATTCCAATTTTAGGGCTATTACTAAATAAAATTTAAATAATCTTTGCATATTAAACATTTGACATATAATATTTTCTAATATGTCTAACCTACTATAGGACATGCTTAATTACCTTAGCTAATAGCAAATAACATAAATATACTGTGAAACCAAAAAATGTTTAAAATAGTAAAGTGATTATTCAAGATACTAATCTTGTATCATTTTACAACAAGCATAGCAAATTTTCATATTGGCACTTTTTCACTGTTTAAAAAATCCACTCTGTTGAGAATGCTAACAAAAAGAGAGAGGAAATTTCTAAGAATTAGGTAAGAAGCTTCTAGCAGAGGTTACATCTTCATTTATTCATATATGAAATAAGTATTTATTGACCATGAATTCCATGCCAGACAATGTGGTAGGCAATTTTATTTGAAAAGTCACCATGCTTGCCTTCATGGAGTTTACTGAGAGAAGAGTGGAACATTATTGAAAGAAGAATACATGTATGTAAGATTACAACTGTGATAATGGCTAGAAAAGTATATAGGCAGGTTTTGGATAATGTAAATAATAATCAGAATTATTGTTCTAATCAAGAAGATGATGGATAGCTTCCCTGAGAAAATGACAATTGAGCTGGTACATGAATACGAATAGAGTTAATTTCAAGAAATTTCAGGAGAGTCAGTCTAGATAGTGGGAACGGCTGGTACAAAGTCCGTGCATCAGGAAGAAGCACTGGAAAGGAGAACAGTGCAGTGGAAATGTGTTAAAGCCAGTTGGGATGTCTGTCCTAACACCTTTAGATGGTGGGTAGATAGACCAGGTTAAAGATTTTATTCTTTTCCCTGAGAGCAGTGCAGATTCATTTATGACACTTAGAAGTATCTATTATTAAAATTAGTAAAATGCCCATTTCAAATTAAAATCACTTAAATCTAGAATACTTATTTATTAGAAATATATTTATGAATATTTTATAAATATTCAGTCAACATTCTTCAGTAAATTCTTCCTTAGGCAGAATTCTCTGACTTTGGTTGAGTCATTAAATGCTTTGGGTCACTAGTGATCAATTAGTAAATTACTGATCCATAGTATTTTAATGTCCTGAAGAAATAAATGTACCTTGTGAGAGACTAATTGAATCTTGGAGAGTTATTTATTCACCATTAAGATTGAGATCAATGAGTCAGCTCGTAACAGTGATACGAAATAGGTGCATTCACTTCACAAATAGATAAATTAAAGCTCAGAAAAGATAGGACTAGGAAGTTAAGAATCCAGGTTAGAATTTCAATTTGAAAAGACTCAATTCCCCATATCTAGCTATGTAAAATGAATTATCTGAGCAATAATAATTTTTCTGCAAATTCATTTTCATGTAGTATTAAGCATAATACTTTCAATTAATGATTCTAGATTCATGGTATATATATTATTATGGCTTGATTGCAATATAAATGGTACGGTTTTTCAAAAGCAAAATTTCAACTCCTTTAAGATAAAAGTTTTTCGAAAACCAGTTACTCTGACTGCCTACTGTCTGGGTCATTTGAAAAATAAATGACATCCTACAATATGTAAAATGGTGAAGAGCAAAATCTTCAGAGTAAGAAAAATGTAGCTTTAATGTTTGACTTCTGTACTTACTAACTCAGAACTAGTCAAGTTATTAAACCCTCTAAGTTTTAGTTTCTAACCTATAAAAGGGAAAGGAAAGATATAATTCATAGCTTATTGAAACTATTTCATAAAAAATTATTTAAATACTAAACACTAGACCTCGCAACAAATATATATAGGCATGATACACACACACACACACA